GACAATAGAAAATATTTCTGTTGTTTTCAAACTCCAATGAATTATGAGAGAAATATTTAGAATTTCTTTGAAACCTCATGTACTTTTGTGTGATAATTACCAATGGACATACAAGCCAATTTTCACAAAAGTCCAACAAATCTACATATCCTATTAATGTACAGGTAACTTGTATAATAACAAACTTCTAGTTTTTGGCCACCAAAGAAATTTACAGTTTCCCATCTCCTTTTAGAAAGCAAGTGTCAAATGAATGAACAATGAGACACAATGTGGAATCCTGTGGCAATTAAGCCTTAACTGACAAAGAACTCCAATGAAATTTGCTGGAAAGGTCATTTCATGAAACAGGAACATGAGTTAAACATAATCCAAAAGTCACCAAGCAAGCTCTGGAAAATGAACAACTTAACTTCAATTTCTTTGGCTTGAGCTCTCTCCCTCTTATTAGTGAACTCTTTTAGGCTCTTTAAGGCTCTCATTACTCAATGTTTTGCAAAATGGGCCAGAGATTCCCAGTGAATGTGCAGTGCAAGATGTGATGAAAACAACATATGCAAATTGGGATCCTGGATGAAAGCCTGCAGAAAACATCAACACTCTGTCTGAGGCATTTCCCATGATGACACCTTTCACTCTTCATACAGGCTTATACTAAAACATCCTTTCAGCTGTATCTCACCTTCTTTTTAAGATTTTTTTTGTAAATAAACCATTTGAGTAGTTAAAACTAATTTCTCTAAAAAATAAAATTTTGAAAATTTTGAGCAGATTTTGTTGACAGTAAAATTAATATGACAATATTACATAAAAAGATTAAAAGATACACAAGAAAAGAAAAAGGAAAATGAAAGACATTCATTGTAAAAGATAAAAAGTTGTTGAGTATCTAAGTGCACTAAAGATATTGTACAACGGCAAGTTTAATTTGTTTCAATTTTGCAGTGTTTGAATTTAACCATTATCTCATCAGGCTTGAAAGAAGAATTTTCAGTCCCTAGAATATTGAGACGAACTTTTTTGTTTCTTTTTGAAGGATTTCTTTGACAAATTTTTCTATTCATTAAGCATCTCATTCCAGATTTTGACACCTGGAGTATTTAATTCTAAAGAGTAGTGATGTTGATGAGTAAGTATAGATGTAATGATATTGTTTAATGTTCTCACAAAAATTTTCATGATGATAGATGGTGCTCTGTTGTTATCATTTGAACATCAAGCTTTAATTTACATACAGCTTCCCAATAGAGGAAGGCAATAGGTAGAATTTTTGCATTTATAAATAAGGAGAGAGCATGTTCTTTTCTGTCAGGAAAGTAGATTAAACACAATACTTGCTCTTGGAGACAAATTTTGTTTACAGTATATTTTTTGGATGCATTGCCCAAAGCAGTGAGTTAATAGTTATATTAGGTAAAATTAAGGATTTATAGATATTTAGGAGGACAGATGATGGAACAAAATATCCCAGCTTAGCAATCATTTGTATGGTCTTTCTTATTTTAGCAATAACACAGTCAATGTAGTTTTTCCAAGAAAGATTTTCATCAATTATACACTTATAAAATAATAAATGTAGCTCTTATGTTCTAAACTGACTCTTCTATTTGTTTCACTATCAAATATACTTCTTTGATAAATTCTCCTTGTCTGTTCCATAGGAAATGTAAAGAGAACAGTGTGGAGAATAATGATGAATACTTATGTCTTAGGGTGCTAAAGGTTAAAAGTCAAATGGAGTAGGGGGAACACACACAATTCCACAACACTCATACTACACATCCTCCCTTTGCTACCTTCAAGACTGAGATTATCACCTGCATATTAACCTTCAAATGGGATGCAGCAGGCATCACCATCCTTAGAGGAAATGGGGGCATACTTCCCCCGAAAACTATGAAAAAGAATATGAAGTTGCTATGGAATACATTAGTCTAAGCAAGCATTTCCACTGCTGGAAAGACTTTGAAGCAAGTCAGAGGGAACAAGGAGTAAATTATATTTAAAAGGATAATTAATTTCAAGTTATTTAACGAAAGCCGTGATTTTCTGTAAGAAACAATAGTTTCAGCTTGAGAACATAAAATTAAATTTGTTTTCATGAGACTCACACTCAATGTGAAAGACTTGAGAGCTTTGACTAGCGCTTTTAAGTGGGGCAGCTTATAAGCAGCAGTTTTCAATGT